TACCTCACACAGAGGATGAGCTGAGGGACAGACAGGAACCAGCAGAATTCGGGACAAGGAAGAGAGGTAGCTGAGGAGAGGAGGTGGGAGAGGGAGGCTGGGCAGGAATTCGGGATGGGCAAAGAGTTCATAAATGGCCTCCTTGGCCATAACAGGACAGGCAGAGAAATCATAAATGGTCTCCTTGACCATGGCAGGGTAGACATGGAGTTCATAAGTGGGCGTCACTTCCTTGAAAGGAGTTTAAGCGGACACTGCCACCTTGGGAGGTTCTGCAGTGGAAGCCGCCACCTTGAGAGGAGCTGGATCGGGCTCTGAAGTGGGCTCAGAAGCGGACTAATGGACTGGAGCAGGCTCTGGAGGAGGAGTAGAGCAGTGTGTAGCCCAAACAGACAGGATGGCTTCCACCATTACAGGGGGCACTGAGGATAGGGCAACAGTCTCTGTGATAACCAGTGCTGAAGACCGCTGAACTCAGCGGTGGGTCCACCAAACTGGAGATCAGTCTCAGTTGCCTGGGCACTGCCTTGTTAGCTTCAAGTGCATCGCTCATGATGGCCAGGAACACTGGTGTGGCGTCCATGATGGCTGAAGAATGTGGCGTAGTGTCCATGAAGGCTGGAGACTCTAGCGTGGTGTCCATGATGGCTGGAGACTCTGGCATGGTGGCCATGATAACTGGACACGCTGAACTGGCGGCCATCTTGTGAAGAGGCTCTGGGCTGGCAGCCAACTTGTAAAAGGACTCAGAGCTGGCGGCCATGATGGGATGAGACTCTGGAATGGGAGCTACGGTGGGAGTGCTGCGTTTCTCCTCCACAACACCCACAGTGAATGCAGAGCCACTCAGTTGCAGTGCCAGATCTATGTAAAACTCCATAGTCCAGTGAGGATAATGCAAAGGCATGAGTGAGCTGAGCGGTTCAGATAGCCCACCATGAAAGAAATATCATCAGGCATACCTCGTTCATACCAGTCAAGTGTGCCAGCTCATCAAAGTCGGTCACGTAGTCCTCGATGGCCCGATCTCCCTGACACATAATTTGTGCTGCTGGATTCATATCTTGGTCAGTCATTCTGTGACGTATGAGCCAGGACAAGGAGGAGCGAGAATACAAATGCATGCACAAAAGTTATTAAACCACAAACACAGATAATCCAAACCAAAAACCAGGGTGCAATCCACATAGGGGAATAGAGCTCATGGGCACTCCAGCTTGTGATCGTGACACATATAATAATAATTTATGCATTAAGCAGACACTTTTATCCAAAGCAACTTACAGTGCATTCAGGCTATACATTTTTTACCATTATGTGTATTCCCTGGGAATCAAACCCACAACCTTTTGCGCTGCTAACGCCATGTTCTACCACTAAGCCACAGGAACATCCTACATAAAAACATTTTAACACAAGCTTTACACACTCTGTCTATGCAGGTTGGTAAATTGAAACCCCACCCCCCGCCCCGTCCCAAGAGACAGGACCTAATAGGTTGACCACCACTGTTCTGAGGTTTCTAAAATGGAGTATAAAACAGTAATCCATATATATGCCTACATTAGCTGCATATGGATCTGCCTAACAGTAGGGGATTTGAATGTGATGTAGCATTCTGGAGCTGAGTCATGCTCAAGACTGATTCACGGCAGGATTACGATCAATGTGTTTGGCGTCAGACTGAGTTCTTGTGATAATTAGATGAGAAACAACATACACAGGCATGACGTATGAAATGCAGTCAACCGACCAAATGTTTCATTCAGCCAAATGCATGATACTCCAATTACATTGATTAATTCAGATAACAGTCCGTATAAGATTATATATTTAGTCAGCAATTTACAAAACAATTATGTCCATATCCTGAGGACCAAAAACGTATTAAAAGAAATTTCAGATTTTGCTTGGTCACTCAAACTCACCGTGTTGATCTACAGAAAGCTTCTGTGTCTGAAAGTGACTTTTAGAGCTGTGCTTTATACATCTCTACACAGACACTGAAATTTCACTAATGTGGCCACACCTTCAGTGAATATGAATAAAATCAATACTCAGTATTTAATTCTGGACTGTTTTCACTAGTAAATTCTCACCTTATTTGTTAAGGGTCAGTTTGAAGGAACTCGCAGGAAAATCTTTATCTGAAACCCCATCAAAATGATTCAACCTGCACAAAGAAAAAAATTCAGACAAATAATGTTAACATCAGACTATTAACATTTTAAAGCTGAGACATCCGGTGTGTTGGAGCAAAATAATAATGTGCCTGAAGAGGAAGAGTGAAAGAGAGAGAGAGAGAGAGAGGAAGAGGACGCTTAACATTAACAATGAGTTTCTGCACAGTCATGCTGACCTTATGCTGCCCAAAACGGATGGATGAAACTTAACTAGTCTGTTCAAATATAAATGCTGTGAGTTTGGTATCAAGGTCAAGGATGTGAAATCAAACTGGGCAGGCAGTTCATTCAGGATCTATTTGGATAAAATTAGGTATTTTATTCAAATGTTTCTGCACTCTGAAAAGCAAGTGCAAATATATATTTATATGTGTCTTCCTGTCAGCCTCTGCTTGTGAAATGTGGAGTTGTTCTGTGTGAAAGACTCTTATTGCTCAAAGCTCTGTCAGTCCTATCCATAAGTTACATGTTTGCTTTGCCCGTCATATATCTGGCTTCTAGTGAGAGTTAACTTGCTCCCTTGTTTTCACAGTTTCGCTCTTGCCATCAGCTCAGTGCCTGAATGTCACTGACCCACTGGCCTTCTCCCCCTCTTCTTGTCCTCTTATCTGCATATTGTGACATTTCTACCCTCAACTGAAGTTAAAAACAATATAGAAACGAAAGCTACGTATTTAATTATGTGAATTAATTTACTGACATTGACCGTCATGATTAAGGGAAGCTAGATAGAAGTGATCGTAGCGGGGTTTTGTTCTTACTGTGTAGAACAAGTAATCATTCTTATCCTGTGAGAAATTACTTTGTTTGACTTTAGACTTCTGCAAGGACCAAAAACATTTTATCACATATTATCAGTAAATAAAACATATTATCAGTAAATAATGATGATGTAAACATAATCCAAAGCTATTGTATATTATAGAATATAGCACCCAAGTCATTTGGATTATTATGATACTTGTAAGATCATTTTATAGTGCTTCTGCATCCTTTTTTCAAGCCATTTCCTTTTGTGTTTGACTGAAGAAAGTAAATCACATTGGTTTGAAATAGAAATGCCACCCCAAGTTTCCACTGGAGTACAAATGCCATATGTAACTGCTTTGCTTTCCTAAAACCACCTATTGGGACATCTGGAAATAGGAAGATGGTTGTTGATGTCAGCAGCATTTTGTAGAAGAGTGCGATTAAATATAGGACAGCTTTACTTGACCCCACTGCAGCAGTGAGTCAGTGGGCAGGAATAAAGTTATGATAATTCCCTGCACTACAATAGATCTTCATCCCTCATTAAAACTCATAGTGAAACAGCCTCAGAGGCGCAGAACATTTCCCAATATCCTGGTGCTTCATAAGCAATGTGCCGTAAATTCGGGGTCTTCTCCACTGTCAAACCACAGCAACATTACATCTCTGAGTCAGACAGCAGCTGCCATTTATAAGCTCTGTTGGCTGAGTTTGTAACTTCTGTTTTGCTGGCCTGGATTTACAGCTCTTTGTAGTATTTTCTCTGAGTCTGCAGCTGTTAGAAATAGGTAAAGCTTCTCCGCTGTAGGTTCCCACTGCTGGAGCACATAACTGGCTAAAAACAGCAGATCCATAATTCAGTTGGAGTGGCACCGTAATTAGCCTGATCGTGCTTTAGGAGAGATTGTGGCATTTTTAAATGTCACACTTTTTAATACATTTGGGCTGGAGTAAATATTTTGAAGGTGTTGAGTATAAAAATAAATATAAATGATCCATTCTAATGAAATGTAAATGTTAAATGTAAAAGTGGATACAGTTTAGTAGATGGCAGATTTTGCATTAAAGGAACTGAGACAGTTAATATGCATGTGACCTTTAGCACTTGGGAAATAGAGAGCAACATAATCTTAGTATATAAGAGCAAACTCACAGGTGTGATCACTTTTAAAACTTTGAAAAGGATTTGAGTTGTTAACAAAATGTATATGTTTTTCACAATCTCTTCGTATTGCTAACAGTGTCTTTTGTTATTCGTTGACAGTGGTCAAAGTATCACCCATTTCCTTGTTACTTAAATATTTTGCTTTTTATTTACATTTTTTACATTTATATTTAATATTTGAAATTTAATTTAAGATGGTGATTGAGTAGGCATTTTTTATTGTGATTTTAAGCAATTATGTAATTAGTCACAATTTTTGATGATTAATTGAAATTAATCATATTAGTTAACTTGTAATTATAAATATATTTACACATTAAATTCCCAAAATTAATATACAGCAAACATAAAGGGAATATAATAATTTAATTAAAATTGTATATGAATTAAAAACCACAGTTTGAAAATAATGTAAAATGTTGAATTAAAAAATATATATATTATTGTAATGACATCTTTTCAGCTTACGTTTGAGATTATCATATATAAGATGTGGAATTGCCACAGCATTATGTGGCAAGCCATCATTTATATTAATGTCACTGGAAAATTACTTTTTTAAAGATTCTTTGAGTTAAATATGGCACAACTGGCCGTTATTTGCAGCATTATTATTTCATATTTGGCAACCCGTAATTTGTACACGTTCAGCCACACCACACATGAAAATCGTGAGGGTCGAGAAATAATTGACTGCTTAATTGCATAGTTCATAGAGCCTTGTGGAGAATCATTCTGACAATATAGAAAATACAAATGAGCAGATTTTCTCTTTTTCCCTGCTTTTTGCTCTCAAATGAATAATCAAACAGTCATTAAATGAGACTGCAAAGTGTTTTGCAAGAAATATCACAATTCATACTTAGAAACGCTTAATATTCTTTTTCTTTTTTCATTTACAGGCACATGGGTGACATTTGGAGGACAGATTTCAGATGAAGTAAGTGAGAATCGTTCTGCTTTCTTCACTGCACTTACCTGAAGCAATGAAAGTATGAAACTGTTAAAATCAGAGCATAGTGAAAATAACAGCAAGAGTGAAAAGAAAAGCCTACAGATGGCAAGTAGTGTGTGTGTGTGTGTGTGTGTGTGTGAGGACACATGATGCAAGAGACCCTGACATTTTGTTCTAGAAGTTGTGTAAAACATACAAGCACACAGACACAGATGTTGTGTAAGGAACAGTCACGTCAAACTGGAGGACAACCGAGGATGATAATTTGCTTATGAGGGCATGTAAGTTTATACAAAACAGCCTACTGTCCTTCTGCATCGATGGAAGGGTTAAAATGTCCTCAGTCTCTGCAGTCAAACAGCCCCTTCCTTTCTTTGCTGGTTGTCTAGAGATAGAACATGAAATGTTGGAATCATCATCCCGTCCTAAACACGTGCACACACACAGTTTTAACCTTCCCTTGGCTGCGGAATGACTCAGCGTCCTGTCGGATGAGTTGATCTGACTGGACTCCCAGCATAGAGTGACAGGGCAGTTTGTTTCTCTGCTGTCGTAAGGGATTTGCTTTCTCTAAGGCATTGGGGTGTTAGAGGGCAACGTCTGAATCAGGACTTTGTTAGCACTTTGTGTGAGTAACACTCTCGGAGTGTAAGAGTGTGTGGAAGTAGTAGGAGGAGGATTAAAGGAAGTGTTAAGATGCTTCTGTTAAATGAACTATAGTTGACGTTTGTACTAAATGCAAGACTACAGACTGTGAAAACTGCCCTTCTCTTAGTTTCTCTTGTACAGATGATCACACAGGGCTGTGATTTGAACATCAGCCATTATATTTGGGCTTTATTTGATTACCTCACTGAAAAAAGGAATACTACAGATAATCCAAAACAATATATTTTTGAGGCAGGTAAACTATGGCTTCCAGAGTCTAGAAACCATTGATAAAAATATTCTTTGCATTTAGGTGGTAAGGAGCAAGGAGACTGAGGCAGGCAGCAAGAATTTCTGAAAAAAGTTACAGTCCAGGGTCAAAAACGGTTATACAACGGAGTAATACAAGAGAACGCTCAGAAATGTCAGCCAGAGCAAAACAAGACTTTGCAATGAGCATGGGGAATAGAGAAGCTTAAATAGTCCCGGGAGTGAGCAACAGGTGTGCTCGTAATCAGTGACAGGTACAGGGTTATGGTAAATGAAGTCTGTTGGAAAGCTAGTGTTCCGGTGATGGTGCCCTCTAATGCCGATCAGGGGGAACCACAGAGGCCAGATTCGTGAGTGGCTCCTGACACGAGGAGGCTGACGACACCGGGGTCTTCTGCGAGGGCTAGGGTCTGATTTATCCAGATGGGTTCTATGGAAGTCAGCAGTGAGTGAGGGGTTGAGGATATACTCCGAGTTGAACCAAGACTGTTCCTCCAGTCCATACCCCTCCCAGTCCATGAGATACTAAAGGACTCTACCCCAGCATCGAGAATACAGGATTTCTTATACCTGATAGGCCTCCTCACTGTCTAGGATGATGGGAAGGGGTCCCTGGTCCCAGGCCTCTTCTAGGTCATCCGCCCTTCTCGGAACACCAGCTGGATTAAGCAGGGAGACATGAAAGGTGAGTGAGATACTTTATTGTGGGGGTAAAACCAAACGATAAGACACAGGAGTGATTTGTCTGACTATTCTGAATGGAACCGCATACCTGGGACTGTACTTTCAGCAGGGAAGCCAAAGACGAAGGTCATGTGTGGAGAGCTAAACCCATTGTCCAGGGGCATACTCTGGACTGGGACGTCGGCGGCGTCGGTTAGCCTGCTCCTTTTGTTTCCTGACAGCACATTTTGCCAGTGTTTTTTTTATTTATAATCCTACATTTTCAAGGGGCTACATCTATCCATTATGAAGTCACGTTCTGGGTCTGGATGATGCAAGATGGGTGCAGTGGTGAATTGTTCTTTCAAGTGCTGGAATGCACTCTTGGCTGCCGGTGATCAGGATAGACCGAGTCCCTCCCCTCTTAATCATGGACATCAGCGGAGCTGCAATAGGACTAAAGTCTCTAATGAAACATCTATAAAAATGAACAAACCCAAGAAAACGTTGCATCTCCTTCACCATAGTGGGTTGAGGCCAATTCAAAACTGCTTGCACTCTGTGATCGTATATGGCCACGCCCTCCGGGCTGATTACATATCCAAGGAATGTCATCGATGTCTGGTGGAATTCACATTTCTCAGCTTTTGCATACAATTGGTTGGTAATCAAATGCTGAAGGACAGCTTGAACATGACGAATGTGTGTCTCGAGGGAATCTGAGTAAATGAAAATAGCATTGATACTATGACCAATCTGTTGAGCATATTGTGGAAGACATCATTAATGAAGGCCTGAAACACGGAGGGACTATTGACCAGCCCGAATGGCATAACCCGGTACTCGTAGTGCCCAGACACAGTGGAGTAGGCCATTTTCCTTTCATCCCCTTCTCGAATACGGATTAGGTTATAGGCACTGCGTAAATACAGTTTTGTGAAATATTTGGCTGTGTGAATCTGTTAAATTACTGCTGGTACTAATGGTAAGGGACATTGAAACTTGACTGTGATCTCATTCAGACCTCTGTAATCGATGCAAGGAAGGAGACCTTTGTCCTTCATCTTGACAAAGAAGAACTCAGCGGAACTCAGGATGTGAAGGGATGAATGAAACCCTTGGCTAACTCCTCGATGTAGACTCTCGTGGCTTCTGATTCAGGCTGAGATAGGGGAAGATTCTGCCTTTAGGAGGGGTTGTACCAGGAAGCAGCTTGATGGCACTGTAGTTGGGTCTATGGGGAGGTAATTTGGTGGCTTTGGTCCTACTGAATGCCTCTGCAAGATCAGCATACTCTGAAGGCAGGTTGGGCACCGAGGGGGACTCTATTTTGACAGTGGCTGCCTGAAGGGTTTGTGGTTCCACAGCATGTAAGAAAGGTCTCTGGCAATTCTCTGACCATTGTGTGATCAGGCCGTTAGTCTGGAAAATTTGAGGCTCGTAAAGCTGTAGCCAGGGAAGTCTAAGAATTACTGGGTTGCCATTTAAATTTTTTTCTTATTAAACACAGTAAATTAATGCATTCATTAGACAGGACTAATTAATTAGTTTGATTATGAAGTCATAACTGAAACAAAACCAAATTTTGAGAGCAAATTCAGATGATGTGTGCTGCATGAATTAAATGGTAATCGAAAAATCAAAACAATGTTGTTTGACCAAAACTTCTGTTAAGAGGAGAATCAATCAATCAGTCAATCAATCAATCATTCAATCAATTAATTAATTAATTTATTTATTTATTTTTGGTTGAAACCAACCTGACATTTTGTAGTTTAGAATAAAATCCAACTCATAAAGATGCAATACAAAGTATCCTGAGAATGTGGTTACTTTTTGCTACTTTTTCAAACATTACAGACAATATTCAATCCACTGGACAATTTGATAATTTGAGAGTCACACCTGTTACTTATGGTTTTCAATCCCAATCACTTACTGTTTAAATGTAGCCTTTGACTTGTTGCCACCTATATCAGCAACTTTATCACAGTATGTTCTTGATCATTAAACTTTCCTCATCTTTAATATTCCATGAAAGTATTTGGCATTTTTCCATTGCTCATCCTCTCTTTCTTCTCTTTCTTTCTGCTGAGGGTCACCTTCTTGGCTCAGTAGCTCTTTATTGATGAGCTGGGAGATTTGTTGAACTTGACGGGGAAAAAAATAAAAAAGTTTAATTACAGTGAATTTGGAGATTCTTCAGTGGCGTTCCATAAGAAAACTTTAAGAGGAACATCATTTAAATCACAAAGCTAAGAATATCACATGCGGACAGAAAGTCAAACCCATTTACATTACCACTCTTAAATGTTACATTAACGTGCACTGACAATTAAGGTGAATATCTAAAACCTCATACTCTTCTATATTCTGTACTTTTGAAAAAAAGCTTTCATTCCTTTATCCAGTGGTTTACTTTTGCCCCCTTTTATGCTGATTCATCAAGTGATTTAGCCCTGAGAAAGCATGAGAGACTCGGTAGGCAGGAGAACAATCAAATAAGCCCCCACATACACCCATACTTATGCAAATATGCACACATACTCAAACATATTCACCCACAAACATACACTCACCCTTCAGATTTTGCTGCAAATTCACTTGTAGCCCACTGAAAAACAAAACACACTGACAAAAAAAAAAGGTTAATGGCCTTTTGACAGCTACTGTGAGACTTACCAAAGACGCTTAAGAAGCTGCTAACTGTCTACAGGATTTATATAATAAGGCTGGCAATAAAAAATGCAAGTGACACATATGTTTTGAAAAGTGTAAATCTCATTTTAATTCTCTTTTATGTGGAATGATTGACCTGGTCTTGTTATAATTTGCAATAGCACCACACATTTTCTGAAGCTGGTTTATAACAGTAATGGCACTTACATGCAATGATTTTGGAAAGTAATGATGGCATGTTACCTTTAATGATTTAAAATAATGACATTTAAAGGTTTTCATTTCAGTGTCATTTCAAGGGTTTTCAATCTTTTTTTTTAAAGCCAAATGCCCTTAATTATGATAATCCCTTCTGCAAGGACACCCTTGGAAATACAATGCATTTTCATGTGCAAGGAACCATTTAAACTCTGAGAAAAAGATTATTATATTTCATTATAAAGACAGCATGATTGTTTAGACATGTCACTGTTATAAGCCAGACATATTCATTAAAATATAACTGTACTAGAGTTAGTTATTAAAATGTAAAAAAATGATGATGAAAAAAAATGAACAAGATTCAGATTTTAAAGATTCAGTGAGTTCTAACCAACTCTATGGCCTAATGGTTAGAGAGCCGGGCTTGTAACCCAAAGGTCATGGGTTCGAGTCTTGGTACTGGCAGGGATTGTAGGTGGGGGAGTGAATAATCAGCACTCCACCCTCAATACCACAACTGAGATGAGACCCATAAGCAAGGCACCGAACCCCCAACTTGTGTGTTCACTACTCACTGCTGTGTGTGTGTACTTGGATGGGATAAATGCAGAGCACAAATTACACATCACATCCTTTCATTTCCTATATATTAAAAAATAAAATACGTAAGGAATAATTGACAATGGGCCATTGAATTATTAGAAAATAATGCACACCCGAGGTGGTGATGGAGCCACGACGCGAAGCATTATTACCTCACTTAAATGACAAGTAGCTTTTAAGTTGCTAAACTATTTTACAGTTAAAATGGTCAGAGTAGCGCTAACAACACATGCACATATATGTGTCTGTGTGTGCGAGTGTGTCTGTACTATATGTGTGCATTTGTAAGGGAGAGAAAGAGCGGGAGAGTGAGAGTGAGAGTATGTGCTTTCCATACATAGTAAAACACAATTTTGTTGCAAAAACATGGAAATATTTTGTGGTTTTTGTCCTGTTGTTTACTATATTTATTTGCTTGGTCGGTGTCACTATGGGTTTTAGTTATTTTGCTGTTTTCGGCTGTAAGGACATTTGAAATAACTGAAATCACTTTGCCAAATGATTTCAGTTATTTCAAACTACATGGTTGAATGCTTGAATCAGCTCTGTATTATAATATAAAATATTGTATTTATATAATAAAAGATTTTATTTTGTAAAATCTATTTTTCATTTCTCTCAAATTTTCCAGTAGCACCACCCTTGCCTCCCTGATTTATAAGATTTGAGAAATTTGGAGTGAAAATAAATGGCAAAGAAAAGCATTATACATTTACTGTGATGGCTGCAACATATATAGGTTGACCCTTCTATCTCTATTTTTATATGTGTGTGTGTGTGTCTTCCAGGTGGCAGAGCAGCTGATGACTATAGCATATGAGAGTGGGGTTAACCTTTTTGACACCGCAGAGGTGTATGCTGCTGGAAAGTGAGTATGACTCAGCATCAGCAAGATTACCCATAATTCACTTTTCTCCATGAGTCATTATTAAAATCTCTGTCTGTTACAGAGCTGAAGTCATAATGGGAAACATCATCAAAAAGAAGGGCTGGAGGTACGGTTGATTTGTGTGTCAAGCAAACCTGTGTAACTGTAATACAAGATAAAGGAGGTACAAAAAACAACAACAACAACAAAAAAGATTGGAACTGGAGCTTTTATTCCCTTTGTAGTTGTTGTGTACCTGCTGGCTCTGGCATCGGTTACGTGTCATTATTCACACACACACTTTTGATGGGGACTTTGATCACTAGGATCCTGCTCAGTTTGTATCCCTTAATCAATGCCAGCAGACGAATGCGTCCTGGTGAGGGCTGTTGCCATAGCAACAGATGACAACCCACTGTGATCACCATGACTTCTGGAATGACTCTGTGCTTTTGCTGACTATGAAAACTATGAAGAATTACTGCTGATTTGTCACTTGAAGTGAGATTTATTATTTACTGTGAAATTCACAGAAGTTTCCACATTAGCTGTGTAGTGGGGGAAAGAGTTAGAAATTAAAAGTTGAAAGCGGAGTACATGTTAACCTGCTATTTTTTAAAAATGTATTGGAAACTATGTGCCATGCAACATAGATAAGTCCCAGTCATAACTATGACTTTAGGGAGCATTCATGTACATCATGCAATTTATGTTGATAATAATTCCAAATACATGAAGGCAGCAATAAGTCAGTTATTCCAGTTATTTAACCTCATCTGAAAGATCAAGTCAAGTGCATTGAAATATGGGAAACACCGTAAATTTCAATTTGTCAACTTCACTTGAAAAATTCTTGCAAACCTGTTGCCTCAGAAAATCTAGTTCAGATTACTTAGTAAATTCAAGTTTTCATAAATTGGCTCTTGAGTAAACTTATTATGTGACAAAGGAAGCTATAAAAGCGCATCCATTGAAAACTGTGTCAGCTTCTGACAGGTTAACGCAAGCACTCACAAGGATGCAGGAAGTATGGCAGGCAACGCAGCGTCGCGTTGCCTTCGGGTAACCATGTTTACATACGTAACCTAGGGACGTTCCCCTTCAGGAACTTGAGTTCTGTCAGAAACGCTATGGGAATGGGAATACCAACTCTGTCATACTGACGAATGCCTGTCTAGTGTGAAGACTAACACACATCTAAGACAGAAGCACTCTAGAGCCCGGAGTAGTTCCCAAATCTAGGTTATAAAACCTGACAAAAGTGAGCGGGGTAGACCATTCGTGCATAGGTACACAAGATAAGAGGGCCTTCGAGGCCGCCATACTCCTAGTAGAGTGGGCCCTGACCCCAAAGGTGACTGGAGGTCAGAGGACTCATAGGCGAGGGAGATAGCCTCAACTATCCACCTGCTTAACGCACTGGACACACTAAATTAAGCTTCTCCTGGTCTGGCTCCCGGAAGGGAGGAGGACAGAATGCACTACCGGTCATGGAATCTGACTAGGCACCTTTGGCACATAACCAGGCCTTGGGTTCAAAAATGCTTTGACCAACCCAGGTGCAAAGTCCAGACATAATGGGGCCACTGAAAGGGCCTGAAGATCACCAACCATCTTAAGAGAGGAAATGGCCAGAAGAAACACTCTCTTAAGTGTTAACAACTTCTCAGAAACCTCCTGTAGAGGTTCAAAGGGACCCTTACTAAGCCCCTCCTGGACCAAGGCCAGATCCCATGCCGGGACTTTAGTACATAGAGCAGGCCTCAACCTCAAAGCAACACAGAGGAAATGGGTTACCAACGGGTTCCTTCCTAATGATAAACCCTCCAAAAGGGAGTTGTAAGCAGATATAGCTGCCCCGTACACCTTTAGTGTGGAAGGAGTCAACCCTTCAGAGAATCGTTCTTGCAGGAACTCCAGCACTGAACCAACCGGGCAGTTAGTATTCAGCAGTGTTTGCCATCACAGGAATACATTTAATTATAAAATAAATATGAAATTCCCTTTTAATAAAATATATTAAGATAGAAAACAGTTATTTTAATTTGCAGTGATATTTCACAATATTACTCTTTTTATTGTATTTTTGATCAAATAAATGAAGCCTTGGTGAGCATATGAAACTTCTTTCAAAAACATTTACAAAATTAAACTGACCCCAAGCTGTTCAGTGATCGTGTACATGTAGCAGGTATCTTTTATCTGAATAGAGATGTGCCATTTCTATATTGTATGAAATGTGCACAAGTATTATGGTAGAATGCCATTCCAAAGATCGCCATGGACTCGCTTTCTCTCTTTTTTCTTCCTCTCACTTTCTCTTTCTCTTTGATACATATCTCATCAGACTGAGTTGTAGGGTTCATATCTGCTCTGTCCCCAAACTAATTTAATCTGGCCACCTTTATAAACTTCACAATCTTCTCAGATCCAAGATCTGTATTACAGATCATTCTGTTATGCTGACAAATTTGCTCATCCCACTGCAGTGAACATACATGAATATCACATGACCCCCAATTAAAGTTTAAGAACTCTGTATGGATCTCTTCTGTAAATGTTTGATGGATATACATTAAAGGTGAAGTGACCCCTGAGATCCACAGTTTTAATGAACAGAGCAGAGACGGTGTGGGACTAGTTTGTCCTCTCTTCTTTTTTCATCAGTTTACTTTCATACTCAATCTTTTATATCTTCCCAATTTATTCTTTCCCTCTCTCTCTTCAATATTCTAAGTTGTGTCCCATTCCCCATTTCCCTCATAAACCAATTACTCCCTGCCAAGTTTTCTTTCATTCCCTTTCCTTTCGTCATCTTTTTCATTGACTCATTCCCTCTATGGAGATAATGGTGTGAAGTTCATGTGTTTCTACACCAGCTGCTCGTTTGCTACACAGTGACAATTGTGTGTGAAACACAAAGCCATTGAATTCACTTATAATATGACATCTGGCCTAAAATGTCTGTTCAATTTCACAGCCCCAGCTTTCTTGTTTAAAATCGTAATTATTTTGTAAGGCCAAAATTTAGAGGGCATTTAGAGTCGTGAATGTAGGACACAGCAAGAGTTCACACCAGTGAAAGCTCATTTACACCCATTTACAATTCAGATGAGAGTAACTCTGAGAGACCTGCAGATTACTGCCAAAACAGCTACAGGCAAAGGTTACACATGTATATCACTGAGCAATAGCATCACTATCTCTGCAGTTCGGCCTCAACAGTCTACTTCTTGTTTGATGAAGTCATGAAACCAATGAACAAGGGACTAACTGGTCAAAATAGATAGAAGCCATTCGATATCTGTCTGACTTAAACCAAAATATGTATTTTTATAATTTTATCTTTCCAATATTTGCATAAAAATGTCATGTTCACTACCATTCAAACATTTGGGGTTGGTCATATTTTTTGTCAGTTACATTTAGACTGTAAAATCAAACTACAATGTACACAACTCCTACAGAAAATATGCTTTAAATCATATTTTAACTATAAGTGATCAGAGAATTACTAAATCATTTTCAACTTGTCACTCCATAATTTATCCTTTTCAAAGATGTCACTGCTCTATATGGCAGCTCATTGACATTCTTTGGCCCAAATAAAATAATAAAAGCTGCAAACTGATTTGTTGTAAAATTATACGATGAAAATTAATAAAATAAATGAAAATAAATTAAAAAAAGGAATTATTTACATCAATCATTATCACTAATTTTAAAGTCAGTGCATGGTGTTAGTGTTTTCTGTTAGATTTAATTAGGGGTAACAGCAAAACTACATAGCAACATATGGTACATTAGTATTGTTTTTATTCTACAGCCAAATGAAATTAATATAGCATGAAAGATTCAATGTAGGATTCTTGTTTAGATTTTTAATACATTTATTTAATCAAAAATACAGTAAAACAGTAATATTATGGAAATATTATTAGAACTGTTTTCTATTAAAAACTATATTTTTAAAATGCAATTTATTATTGTAATTGCAAAGCTGTATTTGCAGCCATTAGCCAGTCTTCAGTGTCACATGATCATTCAGACATCATTCTAATATGCTGATTTGGGGATCAAGAAACATTAAATAATATTCTCATTATTATCAATGTTGAAAACAGTTGTACTGCCTAATAGTATGGAGGAAAGTTTTTTCAGAATTCTGGGGGAAAATCCCTTTGAAATAGAAATCTTTTGTAACATGGCTTTAAAGTCACTTTTAATCAATTTAATACATCCTTGCTGGATGAAAGTATTAATTTCGTAAAAAAAAATCTAATTGACCCCAAAAACTGTCTCATTGATGAAAACTGTAGTTTGACAAAAAAAAACACAAAAAAAACACTGTGGTTTGATTATAACTGCACATGTAAACATGCTTACTGTGGACTTTGATTAACCAACTTTTTGCTTAATTGAAAGCTATTATGGAATGTTTAAGTGCAAATCCTAACTCACTTTTCCCTCTTTCCTCCTATCTTTTCTCAAGGCGATCCAGTCTGGTTATTACCACAAAGCTTTACTGGGGTGGAAAGTGAGTAAACTGTCATTTTTCTCATTGTGGATGTCACGTCCAGTCAACTTTTATTTCATAACTCTCACACTGTAGCACATTCCCACATTTCATAAATGTAATTACAAACCTTGGTTCAAGTCAAGTGCTGACCCAGCATTTTCTGTTTGAGTAAGTATTCTGGAAGTAAGTGAGCAGAAGTGCAGCTGCAGAGCTAGATAAGACTAAAGAAAAGGACTGTCCCATTTCCCCACAAATCCTCTCTCATGAATAATAATCAGAATTGAAATATGCCATGTTTTTTTTAAGTTAAAAAATGAACATGCAAAAGGGCTAGTTTGAAAGAAGAAAAAGATTTGCAATAAACTCTGGCAGAAGGAGGACATGTCTCATATGCTAGACTAAACTTAGCTCTGTCTAAAATTGTACTTTCTGATGTACATCTGTCTCTGTGTTTGTCTCTTTTTTTGCCACAGAGCCGAGACCGAACGAGGCCTTTCTAGGAAACACATTATTGAAGGTAAAGTACAGTACACACATTCGCTTTCTAAATACTCTCACTCTGTGATCATAGCTTGTGTGCATGTGTGTTTGCATGTGTGTGACGTGTTCAGATCCTGGGCATTGAGTGGATTTAGTGTTAGTGTCGCTCTGGCAGGCAGAACTAACAGATAACAGGACTAAAAACAATGTAGAAGCAAGTGACTCGCGAAATGGCATCAGTAACTGAACACACATTGCACAGAATCAAGAATCAGAATCATGTGCTTCTGACTCTCAAAAAACCCCATAATAATAAATAAATCAATAAAATAGCATAATTTTCCCCTGATTTAATTTAATCTGACACCAACAGGCACCTTGAATTTTTATGTTACATTTCAGCATGTTGTGCTTATATCAAAATAATGGTTCAACCTATAAGATGTAGCATTTGGACCAATCAGACCCAACTATTTGTTATATTTAACAAATAATATCTAACGCCCCCTCACCTAACCAAAGGGCCAACTATGAGGGTCTATGGACCCTTCCCGCGAAATGCATCTAACACATCAGAAAGGCAGAACAGGCTTCTGGTTCCATGGCAACCAATGCTGATATCACTAGTTTTATTGCCCAAAGGAATGCGGGCAGAGAAATTCACAATTAATTTACCCTTAGGAAAGACACACTATGCCCATAAAAAATGGACTCTTCTCTAATTAATTCATAGGATAACCTTTCTGTGAATGAACACACATCTCCTCAGGACATTGTGTATACCATTACTGTTCTTGTATATTGTCTGTTGAATTGTATACTGTTATGTGTGTGTATTATGATAGATCACTATTTAATATAGCCCCACCGATACCATATTTGGTCTCTGTGAATTTGTCTACTGATGATCTAAATGAGCGTTTATATTATATGTGGGTACATAGGCAATATATTAGTGTTCTAAGAATCTTTAGCAATTTTGATTCGAGTTCCATATGCAAATTACCATGCTCTCACACAAAGGGTCATAAAACTCCCCAGTATTTCCAACCTCCCGCTTGGAATTTTAGCCTTTCTCATTGGACAAGCCCATCCTGAGAGGCGTGAATCTTCTCAGACCTTAAAAGGCTCACGCACAGTTCCGCCCATGTTCTTGTTGTTCTTCTTCTGCTAAGAAGCGTGTTGGAGCCTGAGCCGGTGCGGGCGTGCCCGGTGGGCTCCAACACATAGCCAGTCAATCTGCAGGTCGGTTAGATTCTGAGAAGATGAAGATGTGAGCTAGAACGCTTCTAAGGACACCCTAAGTTTGTGCCAGACCTCGTGCCTAGTCTTTCCATTCATCAAGATCCTCTGACTCAAAATGGTTCTTTCTCATCACCTAACTTCAGCCAACCTACTGGAGCCGCAAAGAGCATCAGGACTCTTTTTCAAACAGGCGAGACGTACAAGTATCAAACTTAGTCTTATTAATTGATACAATAAGTATAATTTGCACCTTTTACAAAGGTGTATTTGAACTAAGAAACTGATGTTTCCTTCAGGCTGTAGATCTGCTGAATATCAAATGGTACCATAGCTTCATGTTTTTATTTATCTTCTCTTTACTGCTTAAGCTTTAACCCTTTTTCCTATGCCAACTGTATGCGTGTGTGTGTGTGTGTGTGTGTGTGTGTTTATGTAGTATGTTAGACTAGTTTAAGTGTTTATGTAGTTAATAAAGTCTTACTTGTATCACACTTGAG